TTGTTCTATTGCTTTTATGTTTTTAAACACCTGTTTTGTTCTATTGCTTTTATGTTTTTAAACACCTGTTTGTTCTATTGCTTTTATGTTTTAAACACCTTTTTCCTCTATTGCTTTTATGTTTTTAAACACCTGCTTTGTCCTATTGCTTTTATGTTTTATTAGGAATAACAAAGTTCTTCAACTAATTGCAGACAATGAAAATTAATTGCAGATGAGAGATCTTGTGAGGTAGAGCAGTAACACACACTAGGATAGGAGCCGTGGGGGTAGTTGCTCCCTCTCCCAGCAGCCATCAAAATAATTTTTCTAAAGCATCAAAATAAGATAAGAAATGGAGAAGGCATATGTTGTCGACCAAATGTTTAATATGGGGTCATGGCTTCGGATCCTTATAGATTTTTGGCCTCTACACAATAAGACCGTCGTGCGGGTACCATTGGGCTTGAGAACCGATATCTGCTCAGGATTTTAAATCTTGACTTCATATCACACGTGAGGCTTACTATAGGCATTGAGTCTGGTAGACTATGTATTCTGATTGATACTTTTATGACTAGGATATATTCCACGAATACTATTCTTTATCCTATGTGTGTGTGTGTGTGTGTGTGTAGCTCACTCCAAATCTAGTTTTCTGGAATATAGTCATAAACATATAAACATGTTTAATTAGAATTGTTTTTCTCTTCTATTTTTATCCAGTTAGATTTTGTTGATATTGTGGTGATTTACTTTGAAATATAATGCATATTTGCTCACATGGGATTCCATGCCATGATAAGCTGAGTATTACAGTTTTGAACTACATGAGCTGTTATCAATCCAGCTAGATTATTGATAAAAACTGTCATCCATATCAATTTCACATGTGCTTAGACGCTGGAAATAGCCTGATGGATATTTCTTTTCTAAACACACACACACACAACCACTTTTTAAATATTTCGTATAAGCACAGAGTTTTAAGGCTATCTAATAATACAGCTAGAGTCAAGACGGGTTTTATTCACCTTGCAGTGTTATAGGTTGAAATATATATATATATACAGTTAAGGTTAATATATATGTTAGTCATTCACATTAGAAAATAACGTGATAAAAATGCTAAAACTAAAATAAAGACATGTAATAGTTAAATATTTCCTAAATTATAAGATACTAGTTCTTATCTGTAATCTGAAGATACTATCAGTTTATACAAATTTTCTGAGATGTCTCGTGTGCAGTACATGCTTATTCTAAAATTATGTAAATAGTGTTTAATGCCTGACTATTACATACTATGTTGTTATTAATTGTTGTTGTTGTGTGTTTTTTTTTGGGGGGGTAGTGTTTCGGTAATAGCTTTCATATACTTACAACTGTTCTTATCAAGTTCACCCAGAATTTATTTGTAACCGCTGATGTTGTGTGTGAGGTCTCTCATTCTTTTAATTAAATTATCGTTTATTTTAAAACTCAAGTCAATGAAATGATGTCTTTGTCTAGGGATTTCTGAAGATTTACAGGCAGTTTTTTCCTCATGGTGACCCCTCCAAGTTTGCATCCCTGGTCTTCAGAGTATTTGATGAGAATAAGGTATCTTGTTCAACAATATAGGCACATTATAATATTTTTGTTGGTTTAAAAGCTTCTTTTTAATAAATGTATGTTCCTCAAAAGAGAGCACATAACACAGTTACAAATAAGAAATATTTATAATAGTTTATTTTTGCTAAAATCTGAAATTCTGATTAATCCTGAATAAAAGGAAAGTGTAAATACATTGAATCTTATGCTAGTTTTTCTACGTTAATAGACATTTTAGAATGTCTAATAAATTTAAAACTTTTTTGTTCGACTTTGTTTGTAATTAAGCACAAAGCTACACAATGGACTACCTGTGCTCTGTCCACCACGGGCATCGAAACCCGGATTCTAGCGTTGTAAGTCCTCAGACATACCGCTGTGCCACTGGGGGCAACCTCAACAGAAGTGAAACTTTATTCTTAAAAGCACAGAAACAAGTCAATCAAAAGACTAGAGTCAACGAAAATTACATGTCCTAAAGGTTTCTCTCTTATATTTTCAATTGATATTTCACAGTAGACGTTTGTTTGTTTGTAATTAAGCACAAAGCTACACAATGGACCATCTGTGCTCTGCCCACCACGGGCATCGAAACCCGGATTCTAGCGTTGTAAGTCCTCAGACATACCACTGTGCCACTGGGGGGGGGGGGCTAGACGTTGGAAACCAGTTAAGTTTATTTTTCAAGGCC